GAACACAACTCCGTGGAGTTTACACAAACATTAGCATCTTAGCTCTTACTGCAGGTCTTTGAAAACCAGTGTGAAATGCGCCACATTCAGCCTATTAAAGCTATGGATAATCAGAGTGAAAACAAGGCAGATGTTTACGGCAAGAATAGGAAAGAGCTCACCTTTGAACTACGAGACATTCAGATGATGGGATCAAAGGCTACCTTGCACAGGAAATAACCCAACAGAGTGGGACGTGTAGCATGTGTAGTAATTCCTGCAGCACAGCTATGTAATCCATGCAACCTAGACATTACTAGTAAAGATGGACATGACAACAGAAAGCAACCTGCCTAACATGTTCCTCGATCCTGCATACAGAGCAAGCACACACATAGAATTGTCTAGTGTAATCACATTTTCAGATACATGGTACATTTTTGATCATGTACACGTCAGGATCAACGTTTGGTATATTAACTGTACTCAGGAAACCTAAATCTACAGCCTATACGTTTGAAAAAGTAGATCAATTATTTTCTGAAGCTACATTTGTAGGGGTAGCATGTCTCCCGAGTGGCGCAGTGGTCTAAGGCACTGCATCGCAGTGCTAGCTGTGCCACTAGAGATCCTGGTTCGAATCCAGGCTCTGTCGTAGCCGGCCGCGACCGGGAGACCCATGGGGCGGCACACAATTGGTCCAGGGTAGGGGAGGGAATGGCCGGCAGGGATGTAGCTCAGTTGGTAGAGCATGGCGTTTGCAATGCCAGGTTTGTGGGTTCGATTCCCACAGGGGGCCAGTATGAAAAAAAAAAAAAATGTATGCACTCACTAACTGTAAGTCGCTCTGGATAAGAGCGTCTGCTAAATGACTTAAATGTAAATATCGTAGAACACAAAGCATGAAGACATTGGATTTCCACCAGACACAGATCACTCATTTGTGCACTGCCAGGTGTGTTGGCAAGCATTCACCTGTTGAAGTTCCCATTCCAGCTAAGTGTCTACCATCTCTGCTAACTAGAGAGGATTATGACCCAATTAGAGAGGGAACGTGGTTTAGTGGTGGGATTATACTGTAGAAGTCTACAACAATCTGGTCAAGATCCACAGGGATGCTGGCCCATGTTGACTCCAATGCTTTCCCACAGTTGTGTCAAATTGGCTGGATGTCCTTTGGGTGGTGGACCATTCTTGATACACACAGAAAACTGTTGAGTGTGAAAAATCCAGCAGCGTTGCAGTTCTTGAAACCGGTGCGCCTGGCACCTACTACCATGTAGATGTCTACAACAATCTGGTCAAATGTTGCTTTTCAAAACAAGTCTGTACTAATGCCTCCTGTTTCTTTTGTTCGCCAAGAATTGAAGAACCTTTACTGGGAAAACAGACGTTCTGCCTAGTGTCCCCATAGGAGAATTCACTTGGTGGCGTTCTGAATTAGGCGGAGTGAGAATACCTGTGCATTTCAGGTATTCACATTGGGTTGCCATAGACATGGAGCATAGAGCGAATAATGAGACAACCATAACATTAAGTTTTAGAATAATGAGACAACCATAACATTAAGCTGTAGAATAATGAGACAACCATAACATTAAGCTGTAGAATAATGAGACAACCATAACATTAAGCTGTAGAATAATGAGACAACCATAACATTAAGTTGTAGAATAATGAGACAACCATAACATTAAGCTGTAGAATAATGAGACAATCATAACATTAAGCTGTAGAATAATGAGACAACCATAACATTAGGCTGTAGAATAATGAGACAACCATACCATTAAGTTGTAGAATAATGAGACAACCATAACATTAAGTTGTAGAATAATGAGACAAATATAACATTAAGTTGTGGAATAATGGACTCCTTACAGCAATACCAAATGGAAATCAAGGGCATTCTGTACAGATTACTAAACTACCTGACTGTGCAATACTTGGCATTGAATAGAGTTGTGATGGATATTGTCCTTGATTATGAATTCTGGCGTCGATGCCCTAAATAAAAAAAACGGCAGCAGTTGTGGTATCTACAGTGAGGGAAAAAAGTATTAGATCCCCTGCTGATTTTGTACGTTTGCCCACTGACAAAGAAATAATCTGTCTATAATGTTAATGGTAGGTTTATTTGAACAGTGAGAGACAGAATAACAACAACAAAATCCAGAAAAACGCATGTCAAAAATGTTATAAATTGATTTGCATTTTAATGAGGGAAATAAGTATTTGACCCCCTCTCAATCAGAAAGATTTCTGGCTCCCAGGTGTCTTTTATACAGGTAACGAGCTGAGATTAGGAGCACACTCTTAAAGGGAGTGCTCCTAATCTCAGTTTGTTACCTATATAAAAGACACCTGTCCACAGAAGCAAACAATCAATCAGATTCCAAACTCTCCTACATGGCCAAGACCAAAGAGCTCTCCAAGGATGTCAGGGACAAGATTGTAGACCTACACAAGGCTGGAATGGGCTACAAGACCATCACCAAGCAGCTTGGTGAGAAGGTGACAA